TTGGGTCGGGAGGATGCAGTTGACTCAAACAAATCTAACTGCGGCAAAGGCTCCTCCCCCAAGACAGTTGGTGTTTCAAATCTAGTGGCTGCATCCGCCAAAGGCCAGATTTGATGGCTAATTACATCATAGCATGGTATTCAGATTGGAAGACTCCTCGTTATTTGGCCGACAAATGCAGCCTTCTTTTTGCCCGTTTTGAAGGATGGGTCAGGTGTACCCGTAGCCTTGGATAACCCGTGATTCATTGAGTCCAAGAAATCCGGCTGCTCCCTGCTCAGAGGAAAAAGGGAAATTGTGTCGATCAGTGGTGAATATTGTAGGTGCAGTTTAATATACATGTATGTGAATAGTTCCATCTGAAATTAATGAAAATAGTTGTTTTAAATGGTTATTGAGTCAGATATGTGGCAGTTGATGTTTGGTTTATTGAAAGGTTTTATCTGTCCCTTTGCAAATGGGTTTAGCTGACATTTAAGATCAGACTCCATTATCTGTGCAGTGTTGGGACTAAAAATCAGATATCTGCGATGATATCTGCCGCTGAAGCTCCTCGTAAATGTAAATAGCATACAAAACAATATTGACTATTAGGCTTAAGTGACCTAAAGTTAATTGTCAGAATCAGAAGTTGTTTTCGTTACAGTGTCTGTTGAGTGGTAAGTGGCCACTTGAGTTTGCAGCAGAAGAGAACTGAGCTGAACGCTTCTGCAGACTTGCTCTTCATCTGGGTATCTGGGTAGCAAGGTTATGAGAAGGACTTATTACCCATCATTTTAAGCTGGAGTATTACAGTGTCAGGTTCTTCTAGACCTCTGTAAATCTTCTTCTGGCTTATTAAATTATACGGAACTTCAGCTAAGGTGGATTTAAATCAAATTTAAATCAACTAAGTTGAATTGAACTACACAAACTAAACACAGTTAACCCGAGTTAAAGTGAGTTTAGTTGAGAATTCTTAAAATAAACTAAAATGCACAGAACTGAATGTAGTTAAATATGTGATTACTGTGACCCTGCCTTTGGTATAAACTGACTATTCACCAAAATGACATTGGGGATAGACAACAGTTCCCATCTCCTTGTGATCCTGTACAGATAAAGTTAATATTAAAAAGTTCAACTGAAACATCATTAGTTCAACTGTTTTATTTTCTTTAGTCCAACAGTTTTTACTGTTCTTTCTTGTTTCTGCATTTTTTATTATTTTTTTCCCTACTGGCTTTGATTCTGTTTTATATTCTTATATTTTAATCATGTAAAGCACTTTGCATTGTCTTTGTACTGAATTCTGCTATACAAATAAAATTGCCTTGCCTTGCCTTATTAAAAAACTGAGGAATCCATGAACCCAGATTAATAAAGTTGAACTAGAAGAACTGGACTAAGTTCAAATGAATAAAACTGAAAAAAAAATGCTTTGGGTTCAAACGGAATGAGTCGAACTAAGCTGATTTAACGCAAGCTGAATTAACGGCCTGTAAACATCTGACCCAAATGTTACTGCTAAAAACCAGCTGTTTTACATTCAACTTGGATGATTAAATGTGAAAAAGCAAAACACCAATGTTTGGCTTTAAAATTTAATGAAATAAAATATATCTGTAGGCCATAGAAATACTAAACATTTGAAGCACATTTCTTCCGTGCAAACTGAATAATCAAGCATAAATTAAATGAGTTATTTTAAATCACGCATCTACCTGGAAATCAATTTCTGTGCTAATTAAATCAAATATATTCCATATTTTGTTTCTCCACATCAAGGAGTTATTGTTAACTAGAACTGTATGTTTTCTGCAGCACACCGTGTTTCTAAAAAATTGCCATGATAGGTTGTTTACTTAAATCCACTCTGCACTCACTTCCCCAACTCTCAGAAGACAGGATTACTTTTTAATCGAGCTCCGAGTGCTCTCACTGAGCATGCATACGCCTTTTGTCATCATGTAAGAGCAGGCCATGTATCAGCACACAGACTCATTTAAAGTAATTAATAGAAGCACAAGCTTTGATATCTGATTTATGGAAAGTGGGGGGAAAACACCTAAAAGGCATATAAAATGATGTGTTTGCTTATGACACATTATGGGATAAGGGGAAAGCTAGACAAAAGGAAGATCTATGAAAATAGGCAGTAATGGCTGGTGATGACCTTTCCTTCACGGTGTGTTGTTCATTTATATTAAAGAAGTAACAGAAATCTCCTTGCATGTTTTAGGAAAACTTAAATGAGAAAGTCGGTGGTATGAAACACACTTTCCGCTGTCTGAACACCTAATGAGTAATAATGTTCCTGTCATGCACTGTTTGCGTTTAACCAAATACTACTTCATTATTTATCCACTGCTGTTTTAGTCAGATATAATTACATCCCTGTAATTACTGAAAGGAAAAGTAAAGATTGTGTTTACTGCCTTGTATTTTACAGCAGCACTACCACTGGGGGTCAGTTTCTAGTTATTTCCTTCCTTCTTTTTTTTTTTTTTTTTTTTGATTATTTCTTATCAACCTTCTTGGCCTTAAGCTGAGGCAGCTTAAGTCCCTCAGGCCCTACCTCTGGAGCCTGTAAACACTGCCAACGAGTTTCTTTATTGACATAATCAGGTTGAGTGGTGCTGATGTGGTGACATTTGCTGTAATAGGAGACTGATAATCCTCACACGATTACTTTGCTTCTTTTGGACTATAGGGGAGGCCATTGGGACACAGTATGCTTCTGCAGGCAATCTACTGCCAACCAAGTGACCATGAACATCATCGCCTCACCTCACTCTTTAACTTGCATTACCCTGTGGAAAATAGGAGTCCTGTAAGATCAAACCATCTGCAGTAAAATGGAGAAGGGAAAAAGAAGGAGATGCACAAACAGAAACTGCAAGAGCTCTCTCAAGTGGTGAAAAAGAAAACTTCTCCTTGAATAAGATTTTCACTTACATTTTATGTTACTTATGAAAATAACCAATCAATCCTGAATGATTTTAAAACATGACATTTGATTTATATTTGTTTCTGAAAGACGCTTTTGAATCTCTATTGAATACAACATGATCCTTTCAACTTAAAGCCATACTGATATGGTTATTATATGTTGATATATTCTTAGAAAACAACTCCAATTTGAACATCCGGTTGTTATATCATAAATACTTCACATGCAGTGTTTTTTGTTTGTTAGTTTTTTTACATAACAGCCGCAAACGTTAATATGTTATAATGGGATTTCATGTGATGGCCCAACACAAAGGTGTGTTCGGGAAATTATTAAAACAGCAGGAAAGTAATAAATGGTTTTTATAATGTAACATAAAAATTCAGAAATATGTGTTAATCTTGTTTATTCAGCTCTGATACCCCTAAATTAAACAGAAATGTTATTCGGGCATGTCTGCAGTTAGCCTCGAAGGTCCGCTGGTTGCCACAGTCCTCTCAACATCGGAACGTTTTTTTTAATTATACACTAAATCAGTAAATGGGCCATATAGTGACTCTTAAAAGTATAATCTTTTTGCCTCAAATGAACTTAACATAATACTCTGAGTTCTGCAAGCACTCCCATTGATGCTGCGACCACTGCAGTGGAAGTCTGCTCTGGTGCATACTTGGTAAAGAGGGAGGGGTAAGGGCAACAATATCTTGTGTTCTTGTGAATTGGAATAGTACTAGGGCTGAGGCTGATGATGTTTCACAAGCACACGAGCTCATGAGAATGCACAAGTGTGCATATTGAGAAAAGGGCTAAATTTCCCTGCTTCAGCACAGCTGATTTCCGTTGCTGATTAACAGCAGAAATAGCTGTGCTAACGCCGAGAAACATTGAAAACCTGCAGGACAGCCGCAGTGATCTACTGCAACTGGTAAATAGATCCACTTTTGTGTATTTCTTTCCTTACTTAACTTTAAATAACACACAGCATTTCTCTGAAGACTTTCCTTCCTTCCTTCATTCCTTCCTTCCTTCCTTCCTTCCTTCCTTCCTTCCTTCCTTCCTTCCTTCCTTCCTTCCTTCCTTTTAAAGAGATAGTTTTGTTTTTATAATTGGCAAATATTAAGAGAATCACCTAAAGTCATGCTCATAAAGATCCATATTCAAAGTTAAACTGTTTTATTTCTAACGTTGCTCATTGTTTTTTTTTTCCTTTTGTTTAGTTTTTGTGGTATAGCGGGGAACAGGAGCAGAGTCTTATTATATATTTTATTACCTCGTGGTTCAAATGGCCTTTGCTGTTACCATTTGTACGAGATATATTGGTAGTAAAAGTGTATGGTAGTTCAAAAGTTTAGTTGCTTCTATCATTTGACTATTCTTTCACTTGGAAAAGAAACACATAGTTGTATATGCTTCTTACCAATTGAGTTTCTCCTCTGTCCTCTTTATTATTTATATTCCAAATAATAGTCATCTGAAAAACCTCTGCAGCAAGAATCTTAAACCAGTTAAAAGTCAAAACCCCCAGGAAACAAAACAACATAAGTCTAACTGAATCTTTATTTTATTTACAAAGTCTACAACAATCACAAATGTTGAGTTCATTTCTATGCATTTGGCCTGTTAGGAAACCTATCTGCTCTCCCCATTCTTATTTGTTAGAGAAATTAGAGTGGTAAGAAAATCATCAAAACTAAAATCTTTCAAAGCATAATTTTTTGCAGCATATTTATTCTTCCCCTCTCTTTAACTGCCCATAAGTTGTAGATCAGCTCTTGGCACTCATGTAAAATCAAACTAGGGAGTTTATGTGTTATTTATTTTCCACATAATTTTAAATTGCATTTACCAACAAACTGTTTTTGTTGTTAAGAAATGGAAGATGACAAAATCGGGGAGAAAACAGCCCTAAACATAATGAACAATCTGCTGTATTCTCCCCTCACATTAGACCCACATGCTTTCTAGCCTGCATTTTTACAGAGTTAACCAAATGCAGATGTGCTGGAATATCTCAAAGTCCAACCTCTGCTTCCGCCCCCTTCTCTGATTGGCTGGCAGTGATAGCACCCTTTAAGAGAGGAATAATTCCCAGTTCTGGAGTGATTTAGGTGTCATTACTCTCCTCTTTTTTTTCCATAATTCTCTGCCTACTCCACAGACAGCAAGAAGATGGCTTCAGTACATGACAGAGCTGTTCTCCAGGCTATATTCAACCCTACCACCCCCTTTGGAGATGTTCCTGGCTTGAACCAAGAAGAGGAATTAATTGATGATGGTGAGCCTGAGCTGATGTGTCTCTACATATCATGTCACAGTATATTGAATTTATTTGAACACTTTCCATTTCCAGAGTGAAAAAACCCATGACGCTGTAATCAAAACTTAGTTCTGGGTGACATTTCTGTGTTTTTCTTTGCCACGGTACCTGTCAGCTGAGTGTGAATGCTTTTTCCAACCTGTTTATCTCCTCCTGCCAGACAGTGGGTTTGACACAGAGTTGCTGAAGCAAGTGAAAGAGCTGGAGATGCGAGGTGTCTCTGCCGCAGAGGCTGGGGAGTTACAAGCCGCTCTTCAGCTGTTCAGCCAGGCAGTCCACATCCTGCCTCAGCGAGCTTCTGCCTATAACAACAGGGCCCAGGCCCTGCGACTGCTGGGGGACACAGCGGGTAAATTCAACAAATTCAGTAATAAACCTTCCCTTAGGCACTGCATTGTGCCTGTATGTCAGAGTGTTGAGTCTGAGGCCAGCATTATACAATGCAGGACCTCTGCCTGCCTGTCTTCTGCATGTTATCTGCATTGATTCTTCACAATGCGTGTCTTGGCCTCATATTATTTTGTTGTTATTGTTTCATATGGTCAAGATAAAGAGATTACAAGGTTGCAAGAAGCGAAATGCATGGATTTTACAGTTCATATCAGAATCATCTTTAAGATTATGCACAAGTTAAACTTATTTGTATTTGCAACAAAAAAAAAAGATTATGGACAATGGGTGTTACCTTTGCAAACAAAAGAAGCTAATACTCGTGTTTTGCAACAGTTTACACTGTGCAAAATAGTTTTAAGGATGTTTGTTTATAATGTAAATACTTTTGACAAACTGTAAAGACACGCAGTAGTCAGTTTGAGCTCTAAATCTAGTTACCATGCCTTGCTGAAATATTTGTAGACCTTAGACAAAACAAAACCTGCAGCCATATGACCCTTTATACAGTAGTGATACTTGCAATGCAATGCCACTACTTGCTTCTAAAAAGTTGTTGCTAGAGTCCATATTCTTATACAGTATGAGTCAAAGTCAGTACAAATCCGATACAGCACTGTTTCCCAACCTTTTTTGACTTGTTTACCCCTTTGGGCATAATGTCTTACGATGAGAACCCCTCTCAGTGAAAAGTATTGACAACTGCTCAAAAATGGAACGTACAATAACTGATTATAAAATAAAGACAATTTTACTTGCTATTTTAATTTGAAGATGTAATTCTTATTATTTTATTCTTTTTATGTCTAATAAGAAATAAATAAATATATTGCCTGGAAGTTAGTAAGGAATCAAAATATATATATATATATATATATATAACAAAAAAATCACATTCTAAACCTTTATTTATAAAACTGGAGCTCCTCTGAGTAACTCCCTTATAGCCATATTTAAATTTGATGAATTGGGAACAAAATATGAAACAAAAATCCGACTAACTTAATAAGTTTTCCTCTGTTTTCATCAAGACACCTGAGCTGCTTTGATAAGCCCCAATAGCTCAGTATGAAATTCAGCTGATCCCAGGCTGTTCTCTACATCCAGTCTGTTTCTCTGCTTGGTTTTGATGCGTAACAGCTCAAGATGAAATCAAACATATAGGAAAAACGTACTTTTAAGTTGATAAAACCTTGTTTAATTTTTCAATTGGATCCTCGCAAAGCAGAACAAATCCCAGCCCTGTTTTATTTTACTACCTAAGAAATAAAATATTTTCATGTATCCCCTTGCAATGCACTCACGGACCACTAGGGGTACGCATACCCCTGGTTGGGAAACACTGCTGCAGTACAGGATTGCTGTTTGGGCTTCAGAGGTTTGCAGGAGATAATAAGTGAGCAAACAGTTTCATGAAGACCAACAAATGCAGCAGATAGGTCAGGAATAAGGAGTTAAGACATCTTAAGTTATATTTTGTTTTAATATATTCTATTTTATTTCTGTTCTGTAAATGGTGCACTGCAAGAAAATAATTCCTACAAGGGATTAATAAAGTAATTCTGATTCTAAATAAGGAGGGCTAGAAAAGAAAACTATATCAAAAATTAAAAAATCTAACATAATAAAGTTTTGAACAGGCAATGGCACAATAGACCAACCAAAGAAAAAGATCAAGTTTTAAGTTAGAATCTTTTTCTGGTGCTTTTTTCTTCATAGAGGTTGTACATTTTTACTTGGTGCAAGTGTTTTTTGCAAACAAATTATTAATAACATACGGCACATTTCTATGGTTTTTGTTGAGCTCCTGTCAGTTTAAAGCTATACTCTATTTCTTTAATCTCTTCCTAGTTTTGTATGGTTGAAAATACTGTCATTGAATCAAATTTACTTAATGCAGTAAAGAGACGTCTAACCAGTGGCTGATTCTTTCGAAAATTTTACATTATAAAATTCCTCCTTTAAGACTTATATGTGCTTCATCTTTTCATCCTAGGAGCCCTGCAGGATCTCGACCAAGCTATCTCCCTCAGTGGAGGCAATGGACGTAGTGCCTGCCAGGCGCTAGTACAGCGAGGCCTCCTGCGGAGATTAGCAGCCCAGAATGATGAGGCCAGAATGGATTTTGAGAAAGCGGCTGCACTGGGAAGTGAATTTGCTCGACAGCAGGCAGTGCTTCTCAATCCGTATGCAGCCCTGTGTAACAAAATGCTATCAGAGGTTATCAACAATCTACGCAACCCTGAGATGGCAGATATGCAATAGTTATTGGATAGTTATTAGATGAAAATATAATTTTGTACGTTGTACGATATTTTGTTTTCTTTATGTCAGATGTCAAAAAATAAAAACTTTAAGCATTTTTTGTCAAAAGCAATGGTGCTCCTATGGTTTGAGAAGGAATTTAAAAGGGTGTTACATACCATGTAGGGTATACACTTCACTCAAGAAAGGGAAAAAATTTTAAATGTCACCTTTTTAATTTACTTAATTCAGCAATTCTAATGGTAAATTCATTGACATATTAGTTGTATCTTCAGCAGAAAGGTTTAAACACAAAAATACAAACAAAAAATACAGGATTTTCAAAAATGTGTTAACAGGATTTTTTATGGTTTTATTGTTATTTATCTCACTATGCTCTGCTTGTTCAATTCTCCGATTCAAGCACCAAAAATAACTTCATTTATTCCAAAGTTTACTAATGTAGTTGATTGCAAACTTTACAAATAAAACACAGTACACAAAACGTGTTGTCTTTTAGCTTCTAATTATCTAATTGTTAATAGCTATCTAAATGTGTCCAAACATAATGCATACAACTGTTCACAGACAATAATGATAATAATAACAAAAATTAGTTCAGCATATAAGTGAAAGGTATGAGACAAAGAAGGAATATTTAATAATCATTGTATGTCTTTTTTAAATTCAGTGGAAAAGTAAAATACTTGTACTTTTGAAGAATCACAGCTGAAGTCTGAAAAATAAATCATCTGGGGCACTTAGGAAAACATGTATATAAAATGCATAATAAATACTTTTAATATGTATAATCTAAGAAATTGCATATGTAACCTAACTTTTAATCAGACACCCAAATGCATTTTTTATTATGTACTGTTATGCAATCATCTGCATAGCTGAGGCACTTCAGCTTTGTTCCACTGGATGTCAGTCTAGACATACTGAAACAGGCTTTAAGCTTCAGCACTTTCTGATGCATTTCACAAACAATAGGATAACATTGGCTTATAACCAAAGTTATAAGTGTTACTTTTAAATTTAATATTTCCAGATACATAATTAAAAGCCTAATGAGTAAAGCTTCACATTGCAGTTTAAAAGAACCCTCTGGCCAGTCTCTCCAGAAATTCCTAAAAGTGGCTTTAACCTCACAGTGGTCCACCCACTGTGCTCCAAGGTGTAAGGTTCATCTTATATGCTTCAGTTCCCCATGTTTTTCTCTGACCTCTTCCAGACAGGCCAGAGCCACTGGCTCCCTGAGTTCCTCTCTCTGGTAGAAGGGGCAGCTTTTCAGGTGCTCCGACATAGAAGGAACATTACTGAAGCTCCAGTGGTCCACTGTAGAAAACAGTGAGCTGAACCTCCAGATCTGTCAAACAAAAAAGCAATGATGACTTTAACAGCAAAGCAGAGTGCAATGATGATGGATGTATTTTTAATAGATGGAATCTAGATCATTGAGCACTTTGGTTCCATTTCAGAGCACAATTCTATTTCAGTACCGTCTGTTAGAAATTGATACAAATTATGTCATTCATTGCAGAGCAAATACGCAGCTGTTGCCCACACATTAATTTCAACCTGAAGTGTTTCCATGAACGATTACACATCCCACTTGTTACCGGTGGTGCTCTGTTTATCTTGAGGCTATTCAACATCGTTGGTATTATTGGCATGCTCTCTGTCCCGTGATCCCTGCCAGACCAATATAGCAAATGTAAAAATAGATGCATGCACTAGTTTATGTCATTCCTTTTTTATAAACATCAGGTAAGACAGGTTTTTTTAAACTTTTTCATCAGAATATTTTAAAAAGGTTAAAGTTTTTATATGCATGCTTAAAAATGATATAATCTACCATATCACTTAAAAAAACTCACATCTGCTACTAAAACTTTGCAAGATTAATAACATGGGCTCATTAAGTTTGCCTAAAGCAGCCCTTTTAGTTTTGGATGCATTTCAGAAGGAAACGGTGCTAATACAAAATTCTGACTTTCAATTACTACTGTCCTGCACTTTTAAATAATTCAATAGCCTCTACACAGGGGCCATAAATCTGTATCCAAGGAAAAAAACTTGTGTGGGTGTAGTTTCCTGGAACAACAGGCATCTTTGTGGCATCATGATCTAAGCCACGGGACTAGCTGCCGAGTCAAATATAAACCAAACAAACCTGGATGGATAACAGCTGTTAAATGTGATCTCCCTGACATACATTTTGCCACAGTATTTTTATTGACGACTCTCAAAGAAAGGCATACATAAGAAACAATCAGCTGATTTCTGTATTTTTTGCAATATTATAAATGCCACATAAACCTTTTGACATTTTTCCAACCTTACCCTCATAGATTTGATGTGGTTGAGTGATACAATACAGTTGTGGAGTGAAAAGAAAAATAATATAATCCAAATTGTGTGGAGTACTGTATCTCAAGCTCAGATAAGTAAAATAAAGACCCTGTATTAACAGGAACTTTCAAGTATCGCTGGATATTATCTGGATTTAGTTAAATTGGAATCCCAGTCCAATTTTTAAACATTTAAAAACAATGTAACTTTCCTTTGGTTCTTTTTATCTATGCACTAGTTGCGTCTGTCATAATTTTGAATGTATTGTTTTTTTTACGAGACAAAATGAGAAAAAGTTCCTGAACAATGCATACTTTCACAAGTCACAGTGGCACCAGTTTAATAGACCACTGATGGACAAGAAATGGAAGGCTTCACTTACATTCCCTTTTGCTCCGTGGCCCTAAATATCAGTTATCTTGTCTAAAGACAGTAAAAAAAGACTCTAGTCACCTTAAGGGGGTAGACATTAAGGCTGAGATCCAGTCCAACTGTTTGTGTAGCATTTACATAAGTAGCTGTCATGCTATGTCAATGACTGAAATGTACTGTAACGGAATGATAACAGCTATTACCTAATATCAACATAATTTCATGGCCATAATTTCACTTTTGAAAAAGTTTGAGATAAAATTATAATAAATGTATTAAATAGAAAAAGAGGGGAAGCAATAAACCAACAAAAATATTCTGCACATATGCATGAAAGCTATTCAAGGAAGTCTCGAAATACTTGCTTTTTTCCGACTTTTCCATGAACTCCCACCGTGTGAATATATCTTTTTCTTCCACTCCAATAAAACCATTCCTCTGTCCTGCAACAATGTTGCACAGACATCTCTCATCAGATGGGAAACCTGTGATAACTGAGATAATGTAAAACTGTCAAGGTAACCAGCAATACGCTGAAGGATCTCAAGGGGCAGACTACTTAAGTCATTGTAATCTTTAGTGACACTTCCATGAGGATTCCAGCTTTTCCCACCGTCACTTAGGCATGAAGGGATATGTGGCTGAAGCACCAAGGCGCTGACATCTTGGCTGTATTTGATCATTGCTTGTTGACCTGCAGGGTGAAACCTTATCTGGGAAAATGTACATCCAAGGTATGCCAATGGACAGCGCTGTTGAAACCAGCCACTCAGAGAAGCCTGTATATCACAGTGAGCATTCCTGAAATGAGAATGGAATTCATCACGGCGGAAGGAGTGGCCACACATGTAGTTGAAAGCTGAGCTTGTTTTGTTGTGTCTTCTTGTGACAGGCTCAGTTGCGACATCAACATAAAGACCACAAGTTCTTTTTGCAATTACATCTGCTAGGGATGCATCTTCTTTGAAGGGGGCAGAGAAAAAGTTGTACGTTTGTGTTCCTATATCTACATAAAGGCCATCAGTTGTAGTACTTTCTGAGATTAAATGCCCTCTCAGTTCCTTTTCCAGGCAACACAGAAGCGTTGCGCTAACCTCTTCAGACTTGGGTAGATCTTCAATGGACGAGCCCAAATCTGCAGTGTCGACACACTGGTGTACAGTTTTGGCTTTGTGTGATGGGTTTTTCAGTTGACTGCGCTTTGCTCTGTAACTGGTAGGTACATTGAATGACCGGACAGTCTGAACCTCAACTGGCTCTAGATTACCATAAACAAAGTCCCTCTCTTTAGGAGTGCATGCACTAAGTTGACCAAAGTTGATCAACATTGCCCCATTGTGCACTAAGTACATGTTATATTCTGCAATATTGACTTCTTTGCCCAATCTTTCAAGGACACCATCTTGCCAAGGTGCAAGGCCAGTTGCACCATTCATATTTCTGGAATCATTTACCTCACCCTGATTAATGTTTCTATTTTCTACATCAAAGTTTAAATGTTTTTGCTCTTCTTTTCCTTCTCTCTTTCTGTCCTTATTTACATTTTTTGCAGCTTGATTACACCCTTCCTTCTCCTTGCTAAATATTTTCTCCCATGTATTGTAATTTTGGGCATTTGTCACATCTGAGATGTTAGCCAAGTCATCTTCATTTTCTTTATCCAATTCTTTTACCTCCACTTCTGCTGTTCCATTTTCTGTAGATTCACTAAAATCTAAGAGGCATGAAGCATCCTCAACATGACTTTTAACTCCATCAGACATATTTTCAGAGGCAGGATCTTCTTTCATCATCTCAGGGAAAATATTTTTCATTTTGATGGACTGAAACAGCAGGGCTTGATCCCTGAGAGCAAGAGCAACATCAAGGTTTTCATCAGTTTTCAATTTTAGATTCCCAGAAAAATTTTTGTAAAATGTAATGTCAGTTTCAGGAACAGGCCAGCGGTTCCACTCTTGAGAGCAACAGACAGTACTGGCTGGGCAGACCTCCAAGTGTTTGGCTAATTTCTGGCGTGGCATTGTAAGGGGACAGCCAAAGTCCATATTTAGGCAAGGGACAACCTCATAAGGACAAAGGATCTGGTGCTCTTCTTGCTTGCACATATGAAAGGTGGCTCCACAGTTTTTGCTACACTTAATGACCAAACATGATATTGAAAGGTTTACCGGAGCACGACAGTGAACACTGTAACACCCCTCACAATGCTTATGAATGACTTTCGCCATGTTGTTCCTTTTGTCTATGGAGAAAAATAAAAGGACAGCACAAAACACAATGTAAACAACAGTTTTCCACAGTTAAATACTAGCAATAGATATTTTACATCTTGCAGCTGTTTAGATTTTTGTTGAAAAAAGAGCAAACCTGAAAAGTACATGGCAGCAGCTC